ACAGTGATGGTGAACCTTTTGAGCTCGGCGTGTCAGCATTTTGGAAAACCCTAACTTAACTCTGGTGCCGTGTCACATATAGAAATTTTTTGATATTTGCAACCATAGTAAAACAAAGACTTATATTTTTGATATTTATTTTATATATTTAAATGCCATTTAACAAAGAAAAATCAACAAAAAAAATGAGTTCGTGTGTCACCTCTGACACGCGTGTCATAGGTTCGCCATCACTGCCCTAGAGAGAAATAGAAGACAAAGCCTCTGCCACCAATAATTCATATCAGATTGAAGAGACAAATTCGCAATAACAACTCACACCTCGTCTATGTTAAAGGCTAGATGAGGGGTAAATCCAGAAGCCCCTGGAGAGGTTCAGAGGACAAGCTTGCTGGGAGCATGGGCAGGTGGAACAGGCTTCATTGAGGAGGCAGACCTCACCCTGGGCCTTAGAAGGAAAGAATTATTAAGTCAGAACCAGGGAAGTCAATCAGGGCACAGCACCAAGAACAAAGGCAGAAAGCAGGGATTTGCAAAGTGTTCTGGAGAAAGTGAGCAATTTTTATATTACATTACCCCCCCCCCCAAATTGACTCATTTAACTCATATTTGGCTGGAAACATGAATTATAAAGATGAAAGGTGGAAAATGAGATAGAGCTCAGTGTGATTGATTGGAGTTGGCCAGGGAGGAAAGTAGAGTGTATTTAATTATGTAGAAATGGGGGATCTATTAAGGTTTTTGAGCAAGAGGTGTATGTGTAAAGCAGTAGTGTATGAGATTAATCTGGTGAAATTGTTTTGGGTAAATTAGAGGGAACAGAAATTGGACAGAACAGCTCAGAGAGTGTTACATATGTGAAGGAGGGTCTAGTAGGAGTTAGAGCAATAGGAATTGAGAGGGTGAGATTAAAATAAATTGACAAGATTTGGGAACTATGATTTGAGCAGTGACAATGGGAGGAAAGGCTAGATGTTGAGTATATGTAAGAGAAGAATTCAAACACAGGCAATTTTGGAAGGGGAGCTGGTTTGGACATGATGAATTAGTGGCAGGATGATTCAATGATAGAAATGGCAGAGACCATTGAGAACTTATAGGTAGTAAGTCAGGACTGAGGTCAGGGGTATATATTCTGGAACTAGGGGTCAACCTGGATGGAGATAACAAGTGATAGTTGTGAGAGAGAAAGGTTGTGGCCGACAATTTTGGGAGGAGGGTGGTTTTGGGGTGGTTTGAAAAGGAGGAGGAATTTTAAGTCAGTAGAGAAGAAAAATGACTAACCACAGAGAAATTCGAAAAACCAGGACATCCCTAACCTGTTTGGCTCAGTGGATAGAGCGTCGGCCTGCGGACTGAAGAGTCCCAGGTTCGATTCCGGTCAAGGGCATGTACCTTGGTTGCGGGCACATCCCCATTGTGGGGTGGGCAGGAGGCAGCTGATCGATGTTTCTCTCTCATCGATATTTCTAACTCTCTATTCCCTCTCCCTTCCTCTCTGTAAAAAATCAATAAAATATATTAAAAAAGAAAAAAAAGAAAAACCAGGACAGTGGTGTAAGCCAAGAGGAAGATGATCAGTTGATAGAGTGAAAAAAATCTAGGGGGATGACAGATTAAAAATTTGATTTCATGCCCTGGAAAGTTTTCCTAGACATGAAAGACTACACTTGGTTAAACAAAGATAATAAGACAATAATGGCACCAGAGTCCACACGTTTATTAACTTCAGTGAACAAAATTATGACAATAGATTTGGGAGAGTTGGAAGTTGAGGGAAGAAATTTTTCAGAATCAGAGAATCCTGAATGTGTTTGTTGGGGTAGAATCCCTGAATGGAGAATCCATTAGGAGTAGGGAGAAGAAAGGATGAGTTTTCAAAGGAGGCAGGAGGGGAGCAGATGGCTTTAGGAGTTCCAGCACCTCCCCCTGGAAAGGGTAACTGTGATGAATGGGAGAGATTTTGAGATGGAGGTGGGAGCTCAAGACAGATGGCTTCCGTGTTCTAAGTAAAGTACAACACACACAGTACAACGTGATGGTGTATGACATTTAACAGATGTCACCCATTCCTGCATTTTCTTGTTACAGTCCTTGTTACAGACGCCACATTAAATTTGGAACAGTCTATACAGGGCCCAAGGGCAGGATTTCGGTGTGTTTCTGTGTAACTGGTGACAGATGAAAACAAATTAGCAAAAGAATGGGAGAAGCGTGAAGCACACACCAAAAACAAAAACACAAACACAGAAAAATAAACACTAAGTCTTAATTTGGGGTGGGGGTCAGAGAGAGTACTCCTACTTTACTTAAGTAGGTAGTAAATCAGAAGGTTGAAAATCAATCACTTCCCTTTCCCAAGGTTCTTCCAGAGTTCACCTCTCTAAATTCAGCTAAGAGACTCTTTCTGATGTTCGCAGCATTTTACACTCTGATGACTTAATGTAGTAAAAAATAACCTTTGCTTGGACCCAAGCTGAGGTTTAAAACTACCTTAACCCCCCCCCCCCAATCTGGTGCTTTATTTTTATTAGAAGTCTGATATGAGTGATTTGAATGTGATCAGTTTGCCTAATCCACTGTAGAAATGGCATTATGGGAAAATCCCTAAGTACACCACGGTGAAGTGTCTCTTAATCAAATCCTCTACTTAGCTAGTGAACCAGTAAACCAAATAAAAGCAGTCCACTCCTAGGCTCAGAGTGGCAGGTTTTTCATTAAAGAACGGTGGGGATTGTCACTTTAGCAAGAAATCCAACACTTCTCAGGCACTCTTGGGCGTCCAATAGATTCTGCTGAAATCCTTAAGAGGGTTTTAAGCTGCTGGGAGCTTTCTGGTTATGATCAACCAGCCCAGGCTGTGGGAGTGCATTTCTGTGTAGCTAGACGGAACTGGTCGCTGCTCAATTTTGTTCCTTATGTTTCCATTTTTTGCAGGCCATATTTTTCCCCTCAGCATTTTGTTGCTATCCTGTACTTGTCTGTTGGAGCAGAAATTGGTATCTCCTCACTTAATAATCTGTTTCTTTAAGAGAGAGAGAGAGAGAGAGAGAGAGAGAGAGAGAGAGAGAGAAACTGTTGCATGTTGCCTTTTTCCTGGTCTTCCTGAGCAAGCTGGACGGAAGTCACAAGGTAGTTACTAATGAGAAGCCAAGAATAAGAAAAGCCACATCATTGGGCACAAGTTTCACTAACTTGTATGCCCTGGGGCTCCCCAGACACATAGGCCCGGTGAGAAGACTGGTCAGCAGCAATGGCGTCCTGAAAAGCAGATCCAGGCCGGATCCCAGCTTGGAATCCCGCCTGTGTACTTCGGCTTTCCACGTGGCCTCGTACTCTTTTTGCCCTGTCACCATGAACTTCAAAACTGACCTGGCTGCTTCAAAGTTCATGGTGGAACTGGGCGTCCCGATGTCCTCCTCTCACCTGGGCTGATCTGCTTTCTTCTGTCCCAGATCCTGGAGCCACTCAGAGTCGCTGACCCCGCTCCAGACCTCCCGGAGTGGGCTGCGGTCCGCGGCGGGGGGCCAGGAGCTCGGGGCCAGGTGCCTGGCTCCGCCAGAAGCTCTCGCAGCCCAGACCCTGTGGCGTCCAAG